ATGTCAGTTGTTAAGAGTAACAAAAAAACTAAAACAAATTAATTCCACTTATCTTATTCATGGCAAACCAGTAACACAGACTAAAAACGCAAAATACCTAGGTGTTATAATAAATGAAAAACTGTCATGGAATCCACATATTGATGAAACTATAAAAAAATCAAACAAAGCATTAGGATTTATTAAAAGAAATTTCTATAAATCAAATAAGAACATAAAACTAAAATGCTATTTAACCTTGGTTAGGCCAATAATAGAATATGCATCCACCGTGTGGGACCCCTAAACTCAAGAAAACATTAAGAAACTGGAACAAACACAAAATAGAGTAGTGAGATTCATAACAAACGAATATTCACATTTGACTAGGGTAACACCATTAGTAAAATCACTAAATTTAGAAAGCCTTCAGGACAGAAGACTCAAAAGTAAAGTAGCAATTATACATAAAACACTGAACCATAATCTTCAAATACAAAAACAAAATTTAATCAAATACTCTGAAAGACACAAAAATAAAGGCACATTCCTCGTCCCATATGCTAGGACAAATTTGTACAAATACTCCTTCTTCCCTAGTGCTATTAGAGCATGGAATGGGTTGCCTGAGCTAGCCAGGAAAACCAGTGACTTGGCAGAATTTAAGTCATTGGTTAATATGCATGACTAAATGCTTGACGAGTAGGACGTAATCATCTTCTTTTTTGAAGTAACGTCTGTACTATATAAGATAAGAAGACAGTAATACATAACTAAGAAATAGTATATAAGAACTATATTTATAAGGAGCTGGACAATTATATGTTATAGAGTACACTACATCATGACCTATTCAAATTAATATGAATCTACCAATAGTTGAATAGTTAGTTCGAAATTTTTAATAACAGAAGCCAATACTAGTTGTATCTACACAAAATAAATCTAGAGCATCCAAATTTCTTTTAGCCAATTAACTAACTAGTCCAATAAAAGTAAAAGTCAGTAACAAAACCCTACTAGAATCTAAATATTAATACTAGATCTAGATCTGTTATATAAAGTAGGCCTGGCCTATAGATTCTATATATTATATTATAGATCTAGAAGTATAGATATTCTTAGTATTCTTACCTTTAATTTTACAAAATATTAAGAGAAATAATACGAATAATTGACGGGTAAGAAAATCCATCTCGCTGTCCAGATGTAGATCTAGATGAGATTATAAGATTATAAAATCTAGATCTATAGATTGGTTGAACAAGAAGATAGAGACTAACTAAGAGAGTCAGGTAGACACGTTGAGATCTAGAGAGTAGAGTAGACCAACCCGTCGATAATCGGATAAAGTTTATATTTACATCTCGAATGTCTCGATATCTCATCTGACTATATAGCCTAGGTTATAGACCTAGCCTTGATATCAAAATCTAGAATTAGATTAAACATAATTAATGAAAAGTTTATTTTTAGTTTGCAAACTTGGCCGACTTGGGTGAAATGGCACACATGTCTCACATGGTTTTCAACATACGATTCATCTTTCAAGCACAATACAATTTTGAATTTATCACGGCTTGACTTGAATGAACTAAAAATAGATTCACTTAGAATTTAGATTAAATAGATCTAGATCTATAGATGTAGTCAATGTAGATAATAAGTCTAAATTATATAAATATATTTGTATCCAAATTGTTAATGCTATTAGATCTACAAGATGATGCAAACGCGTATGGTATTTGTGCAACCCCCAATGTGTCACTCAGGCATTTCAGCCGTTGCTTTTATAACGTCTCTGTTTTTTTTAACGGGAATTTCCATTGTGGATTTAAAATGAGAGGAATTCCCTGTAAATGGGACTTTTCTATTTTTGTTAGCGGTGCATATATAAATTATATATTTATTATATATTATAATTAAACTAATACCAGTTTATGGTTTAATCATGGTTTAATTACCTATTTAGGCCTATATAGCTGCATACGGCAACTGCCCTTAATTAGGTTTAAAACGTATTCAATATGCGACGCCTATCATGACATTCATGTCAGTCTTGTGCTGGACTTCTTAAATAATAGTTTAAAACTTTCAAAAAAGGAAGATCTAAATTCTATATTCATTGACATTAGCATTGGTAATGGTTCAACGAAATTTAACGCTCAGACTGGAAGAGGATCTGGAGAAAAAAATATTCGGCTACATCCAGGATCTACTCAGTATAGAATACTGAAACATGCGATAATACCGAGAAAAATATCTTCCTAGCAATTGCAAGCATTGCACAAGATTGCTCTCAATCCAAGGTTTGTTTTTACTTTTCTAAGACAAGGGAATCGCGTATGCAGAAAGAAAACACGGATAGATTTACCAGACAGATGAACGCACAAAGCAAGAGCAAAAGAGAGAAAACTAATAGAAAAGAAAGTAAGCCCTTAAAAATTAGATTTAAAATTTAATTGGTGTAACATGTACTGTCGTTGACTTGTGGATCAAACCGGTGGTAGACAATTAAACCACTGTAGACGTATTATATGTTAACTCATAAAACTTGAAATAAACTTGGACAAAACTAAATATAACTTTTATTAAATTATAGGCCTAGACAAAATGAACTTATTATGGAATAAAGTAAATATAGTAGACTTTAGTAATAGGCTAATAAAAAATTGTATTGTAGGCCCTATATGTTGGATAACTAAATCAATAAGTACTAGTCGACCGGCGGCGTAGCATACGCCGCTATTTTGAAGGGCCGGCCTTAAGCCACTATGCGACCGCATTGGGCCCCTCACTTTCATAGGACCCGCGCTAATTCTAGGTGTATACATTATTAAATTAAACCATATTATAACTTAAACAGATTTCCCGCGCCCTCCTGTCAATTTACCAGATGCTCCTGGAAATCTCCCGAAATTACAAAATATACGAAAAAGTCCTTAAAATATACGGAAATATATAGACAAAAATTGTCATTTTGGGGTGTCATTCAATATGGAAAACGCCAATTCTACATGCGATAAATAAAAACGGCATTATGCATTAGCCGTAATTGTGTAATCTGGTGAAAGAAGCTTCTCGCGCCTCAAACTAATGAAGGATTACTTGAGGTCAACAATTCTCAAAGATAGATTGAAACATTTGGTAATTCTTGCTATTGAGCCTGATCTATGTAGGCAACAGAATTATTATGATATTATGTATGACTTTTCTACACGCAAGGCTCGTAAAGTAATTCTGTGCGTAGTAAAGAATGAATAAAATGCATAGACGAATTTATTTTCTAATACAAAATCTTAAATTTCACTTATTGTCCGTTTCCCTACCCAAACTTGGCCCCGCGAAATCCGTTTCGCATAGGGCCTAACAATGCTTAAGTCGGCCCTGCTATTTAGTGACAGGTAAATATACATAGTAGATTATTTGTTCACTTTTCATGACTTCTTGGTCACAATGGTTAAGTCCGCCGCTGCTATTTAGTGTTTGTAAAATCTTTGTTTGTAAAATGTTTTACATGTTTCGGATGTTCCTTCAGAGTTGAAGAAAGTTTACTTAGTCCAAACCTCCCGCAGGACGAAGGGGGATGGGAGCGGGCAGGGTTTGACAGTCCAGCGCGCAGCCATACGTAGCGACGTGTGAATACCCACTTGTTCTCACCCCCCCCCCCCTCTTGTTTTTTCGTGGGGTTACTATCCGCAGAAATAAGAGAGTGATCTTTCCTTTACTTCTTGTTTGACCTATTGAGGGAAGAAGAGAATTATATATAGATATATAGAGATTTCTCAGACAAATCGAATTTTCGCAATTGTTTATCGTTCTCTCAAACATACGTTTGAAACATTTTCTTCATATTGTACTGTGTGAGAATAAAGTCTCTTCATGAGAATCCATTTCTTTCCTGCTTTGTGTTAAAATAGCTTGTCAAGCCAGGGAAGCCTCCACGTACCACGGGTCAGGGCACCTTGTATTCTACCAAACTCCACGGGTTCTATGGGATTTGTCCCAGCACTCAAACATTTTACCATTTCTAATGTGTCCATGGATCTTTCTCAGAGCATGATTGAAAATTACAGGCTTTTCGGTGGGTAGTGTTTGCTCTTCCTGGCGAACCAAGGAGTCTGCAACGGTATTGCTCGTCACAAAGATATGGCTCGGTATGTCTGGTCCAGATGTTTACACATTTCAAAGAGATCTAGAATTCTAAATAGATCTTTTACATCCCGCCATACTGTCAATTCTTTGTACACCCAATACATCCGTATGCTCCCTAATTGTATTCACTGGTAACGCTTTAATTTGGCGCTCAAGACAATGGGTCATGTCTCTAAAAGTAATATAACTACTTGGGGAAAGGCCATTGAAGATCTTTATATAAGAGGGAAGCATTCAAAGCATGGCCATTCATATATATTTGTTTATCTATCTATCTATATATATATGCAGTCTTTCGTAAAAATTGGCAATTTTGAGAAATACTTTTTTTTTTACTTAAATGCGACAGCATGCAGTATCAGTTCCTTTTTCTTTTGCCTCTATTGCGAACAACAACACCGAACAGAAAAGTGTTGTTTGTCTTTTTTTGTTTGTAGATAATGAAGCTTCGTGGCCAAAACGTCCAATTACAGTGGTCCAACAGGGTTTCGTTTCTCATATATATTTATATGTCTATTGCACTTTACCTTATATGTTTATGTCGCCTTATAGCCTACGTTTTATATATCTTTGCGAAAAGTTTAATCAACTCATTTATGATATGAATTTTCACCCTAGCTAACTTCGCTCTAAAAATAAGGCATGCATCACATAATTAATATTCCGAGTTTCTGCTGTCCATCACGACTTTAAGGCTATTATATAGATGCTATGCTTCTTTGCATAGATATAGAACAGCCTTGCTCTATCATGCCAATTGTACACTAATGCGGAATTTAACAAAAATCGAACATAAAATTATAACCATAAGTGTAGCCTATATCCTACACACACACACAAATACAATTAAAAAAACAAACAAAGATGTTGTCAAAGTAGAAAAGATTATTTATATATTACGTTATTTATATTAATATAAATTACACAAGCTACAATTTAATATTGGCCTACAATTTTGAAAAAGAAATGTCAACACTAACACAAATACAATCCAAGATTCATGCTGTATCTGTAACGAAGTGGTGTAAACGACCAGTCAATTCAAAATGGAAACAAGGCTTACAATTTTTTTTCCTTACACGTAGGCCTACTTTATTTGTTATAAACTACAGAAAAAAAAATTATATACTAATGTGTAGGGGCTTACAACAATCTACAAACACAGAAACTACATAAATATTACCTGACAATGTAAAAAACAACAACAACAACGTTGCAGGACTATGATTAAATATCGTGATTACATTGTCTTCATCTACCAATTACTTGTACAATGTAGCATATACATCTAGTCACCTAGTGCGATTTTAATGGGTAGGTGCTGCCTAAATCGGTACTCGTGTAAATGTATAACTTTGTAACAACACTGTTGCAAAGTGATCTTCTAATTGATGCTATTGATACCCCGATCTGCACTCTCTTCCTCAAAGTAATATTTATGCTGACAACCTATGCTATTATGTGTACATTATGTTATATGAAAATAAGTTATAAGACTGCACTTGATCTTACATAGGCTCAATTTTGTGACCCTAGAGATGATATCATTGGTAAAAGAAAAAGGCTAAAACCATTTCAAACCCAAACATTACATGCTTTATAAGAGAACTTTTCAACCATTTTACTAGAAATAGTTTCACCTTTGAGTTAAGGAAAATGATAAAGCATAATTTCACTTGCTGGCCTCAAGAAATGCACATTCATTTCATGTGCAAACAACAAATGGCAATGCTTTAAGATGCTTTAATGATTTAAGATTACGCGCTCTTGACAAGATGGCTGCTCCCTGTTTACAGTTATCATAGATGAGTTAAATTTTCGTTTTGTCGTATTAAAACCAAATAAAATTCCTTTAAAAAGCTATTCAACTAATAAACTAATATCTTTAAATTATAGATTTAACTTAATTCAGCATTATTTCCACTAATTAATTCAAATTAACAACTCTTAGTTTAGGACTATTTTGTCTCACTAATCAACTAATCATTATAATTATATTTAATATTATTTAGTCTATAATTATTTTTATATCCTTAGATTTTAGATCTAGTCAGTCTTAGACTTTAATTAAGGCCTTAGATCTACTAATCATCACTAATACTTCTAATTATAAACTAATAGTAATACTCTATATAGTTAGTTAAACACATAAATATATTGATCTACAATTAGATCTAGATCTAGAATTAGATCTAGAATTAGATCTAGATCTAGAATTAGATCTGGATCTAGTCTAGGTCTATATTTTGAATAAACCATTTGATTGTCATTGTAAATTAGCTATCACTTTAGACATAGACTTAGCTTAGGGCATCTTAGGCATTTTTAACCTTAAACTAGATTTAGACTAGACCTTAAAAACTAAAATCAACAACAGTCATCATGAAATTGCTCTGGCTATTTATCCTAATAATTACTAAATACACACTAGCTGAACACAGAACTAGATCTACCTCAATCAACACTAAACTTAAAAAGGAAACAACAGTCATAATCAATCATCACACTTTAGATCAATGCAACATAAAAAATAACCTAACATACACATCCATAACATTAAAGAAGATTACCCATCACAAATAGAAGTTCTCAATCAGACACAGTAGAAATAAATACATATCACTGTTAATATTAATAGCAGGAGATGTAGAGTCAAATCCAGGGCCTAGATCTAAAGATAGATGCAACATCTGCAAAAAAGTATGCACCATGAAACAGAAAGCCATTCAATGTGACACCTGCGATGAATGGTACCATGCATCATGTGTCCATATGAATACACCTGTGTATTATGCCTTAGGCAACAAAGATGCATCATGGCACTGTGTCCTGTGTGGGTTACCTCAGTTTACATCAGGACTGTTTGATTCCTTTGATGCGGACACTTCTAACCCATGCAACATCCTAAACACCATCCCAAAACCAACTCACCAACCACTAGCCAGATCCACTCCTGTTAAACCTAAATCTACTAAAATTAATACAACAGCCTCACTAAACAAACCTACTAAAGAAGTAATACCAAAATACCTTAAAACCTTAGTAATAAATTTTCAAAGCATTAGGAACAAAACAGCAGACTTAGAAATTTTATTAGAATGTGAGAAACCAGACATAATTGCAGGAACAGAAACTTGGCTACATCCTGAAATTTATAATGCAGAAATTTTCAATAGTAATTATGAAATTTTTAGAAAAGATAGGGCTGATAATCATGGAGGAGTTCTTTTAGCAATAAAAAACACTCTTATAGCAGAAGAAATTACCTTACCTAACTCAAAAAATATAGAATCATTTTGTAAAATTAATACCACCTCAACATCCCTTATAATAGGCAGCATTTACAGACCACCAAATTCTAGTTTAGAATACATGCAGGAACTATGTAATCAGATTACTACACTTAAAGAGACAAATAAAAATGCATTTTTTTGGATTATGGGTGACTTCAACCTACCTGATATAAATTGGAAAACACTAACCATAGATAAACACCAAAACCTTAAGGACATAAATGAGCTTTTCATAGAAACTTTACACAACCTAAGTTTAGATCAAATCATTAAAAAGCCAACTAGATTAAACAACACATTAGATCTCTTCTTAACCAACAGACCTGGATTAGTAGTTGATTATGATATTATCCCTGGTCTATCAGAACATGAGATCATAAAAATACACAGTCAGATAATAGCAGTAGCCAATACAAAACCCAAAAGAAAAATCTTACTCTGGAATAAATGTAACCTAACACAACTACACCAAGCTGCATTAAACTTTCAACAAACATTCTTATTAGAAAAAGACATTAACCAACCAGTCGATGACCTCTGGAATTTCACTAAAAACCATCTTAAAAGCATTATAGAAAATCATATACCAACTAAATACACATCAAACAAAATAAATAAATGCTGGTTTAATAATAGACTAAAGAAGCTTTGTAAACAGAAGGAAAACCTATATAGAAAATTTAAAGAAACCAAGGCAGAAAGAGTTTACAAAAAGTATATAAAAATTAAACACCTAACCCAAAAAGTAAGCAGACAGCTGCAGAGTGAATACATAAACAATGTAATATCTAAAGATAATAACAAAAACCTATGGTCATACATTAAGTCTAAGAAAATGGAAACAACAGGCATAGCGCCATTAAAAGATGAACATAACATAATACATAATGATAATGAAACTGAAGCAAACATCCTAAACAAATACTTTGCATCAGCATTCTCAGCCCCAGGAGACAAAGACATATTTCTTAATTTCAACCAAGTAGACAACATAGAAGATTTAGTAGTACAAGAAAATGGAATTCAAAAACTATTAGCCAACACCAAACCTAATAAAGCGTCTGGACCTGATGGTATTCCAGCTAGATTACTCAAAGAACTAATCAATGAGCTAGCCCCAGTGTTCAAAATACTCTTTCAGGCATCGCTTAACCAGGGCAGAGTACCAAAGGACTGGAAAGAAGCTAATGTCACCCCCCTATTTAAAAAAGGAGAAAAATCTGATCCAGGAAACTACAGACCAGTATCACTTACCAGCATCACATGTAAAATACTAGAACACATAATATGTAGCAACATTATAAACCACTTAGACAAACATAATGTCCTCACCCCATACCAACATGGCTTTAGGAAATATAGATCATGTGAAACACAACTAATAGGACTAATTGATGATTTTTCTAAAGGTTTAGATAATAGTGAACAAATAGATGCTATCTTACTAGATTTTTCCAAGGCTTTTGACAAAGTTCACCACCATAGTTTGCTTAAAAAATTAAAATATTTCGGCATTAATGGTCCACTGCATCAGTGGTTAAAGATTTTCTGATAGGGAGAGAACAAACTGTAATAATAAATGGCTCTAAATCAACACCAATAACAGTAAACTCAGGTGTATCTCAAGGAACAGTCTTGGGTCCACTACTATTTTTAATTTACATAAATGATTTACCAAATTGCATTACTTCAGGAACAAAAGTCAGATTATTTGCAGACGATTGCATAATATATAGAACAATAAAAACAAAACAAGACACAGATACTTTACAAAGAGAATTAGATGAATTACAGAAATGGGAATCAAATTGGAGCATGTCTTTCCACCCAGAAAAATGTCAGTTGTTAAGAGTAACAAAAAAACTAAAACAAATTAATTCCACTTATCTTATTCATGGCAAACCAGTAACACAGACTAAAAACGCAAAATACCTAGGTGTTATAATAAATGAAAAACTGTCATGGAATCCACATATTGATGAAACTATAAAAAAATCAAACAAAGCATTAGGATTTATTAAAAGAAATTTCTATAAATCAAATAAGAACATAAAACTAAAATGCTATTTAACCTTGGTTAGGCCAATAATAGAATATGCATCCACCGTGTGGGACCCCTTAACTCAAGAAAACATTAAGAAACTGGAACAAACACAAAATAGAGTAGTGAGATTCATAACAAACGAATATTCACATTTGACTAGGGTAACACCATTAGTAAAATCACTAAATTTAGAAAGCCTTCAGGACAGAAGACTCAAAAGTAAAGTAGCAATTATACATAAAACACTGAACCATAATCTTCAAATACAAAAACAAAATTTAATCAAATACTCTGAAAGACAAAAAAATAAAGGCACATTCCTCGTCCCATATGCTAGGACAAATTTGTACAAATACTCCTTCTTCCCTAGTGCTATTAGAGCATGGAATGGGTTGCCTGAGCTAGCCAGAAAAAACAGTGACTTGGCAGAATTTAAGTCATTGGTTAATATGCATGACTAAATGCATGACGCGTAGCACGTAATCATCTTCTTTTTTGAAGTAACGTCTGTATTATATAAGATAAGAAGAAGATAACTGATATTCTGAGAATGCAAACGGAGATTTCCAATCAGAAACTTGTAGCTTAAAATTGGTAAATTTACTAAATCGCAGTTGACGAATTTAGAGATATTTAATTTACCTAAATCCCAAAAATGAATGAATCACGCATTTTAATACACCAAAGTATTATTTAAGTAAATTCCCCTTTCATGTTATCAAATGTTCTTAAATGTTCCGTCTATAGACATGTATAAGTTTGTAAAGCTCTATAGATATGTATAAGTTTGTAAAGTTTTTATTGTCTTAATATTGTAAGTTGTATAAAAATGGATGAATTAGTTTTTCTATAAAAGTGAAGGTATAGTTCTACTTTCATTTTCATGTGGCCAGCACACCGAACAACCGGTATTTCAACCCGGGTCTCCCGTTTGGAAGCCAATCGCTTTACCACTCAGGGTCTCCAAGGTATTATTTACTGATATACAAATTATGACATATCTTCAAATATAGCAAACAAATTACTGGTATATAAAATAAGATTGTTTTCACATATCAGCCATAAATTACACAAGCTAGCAATGCCTTCACATATAACCATAAATTACAGCTTTTCAAAATCTGACAGTGCCTTCACATATAACCAATAATTTACCTGTATACAAAATATGAGAAGAATATCATTACATATATATCTAGATCATAGACTTATATATACTATAATATATAAGTCAATGATCTAAATCTAAGTAATGAAGTACTGTAATATACACACTATGATACTCGTATCCATGCGATTGCTTCTAGGTATATGCATAATATATCTTACAAACCTAATTAACATATGCATCACCAATCAGGCCCAAGCTTTCTTAAAATATACTTGGCTTAGTGTTATGTAGGGCCTATAATTCATAAAATGGTACTAGTTTAATATATATTCTTAAAATATATTTACTTTAAACCTATTCGTTTTAGAAGATCATTATTTACAGTAGTGACAACACGAAATCCTAAAGCCTTAATGTGTTGACTTTAACAACTGAAGCCAATAGTGTACAGACTTAATAAGCATTAATATGAAGCACCATTGAGTGCTAACTAGGCTTTGTGCAACATTTCAATTCGCAAACAATAATTTAGGAATGTAAACTCCACTACCTACTTACTCAACATGGCAGTGGGCCGGCAGTGGTTTAGCCTATTTTGTTTTTATGTATGTTATATAATGTCTATCTCAATAATTACAGACATGCTTTAAAAACGATCATTAGACCCTAAAATTATCCATGTGTTAATTAAATAAGTCTTAAAATCTTTTGAATGGGCGGGAGTCCAAAGCCAATAAATAGTTTTATTTTTAAAAATATTTTCTTCTCCTTTTTTTTTTTTTAACCCGCCCATT